TGGCATTTCTTTGTGGCTCCCTGAACACGGCACATAGGAGTTCATCAAGGCACCCCTATGACTTAAGACTCTGAGTTCCGCAGTCCCACCTATGTCAGCTATTAGTTGCAATGGCTTGTTGCACGTCACCTGAAGCAGAGACATACCATGGATTTCATTTTAGACAGCTGATAAATGTGATGCAGTTCTATACCAATATGTGTTATCTGGGGAAACGTTGACCCGAAGACAGTCTTGACCATCAGCGTGCGTAGTAGACGCTTCGTAAACAGGAGATAGGGAGTCGACTGATTGACAGAAAATGCGTACACCCGACACCCAACAGCCTACACCCTGATACCCGATCACCCTTCTGTGTCATAGTCCCGGATATATGACTGGCTCCGTGTCCTGTCCGTGTCAAATTCTGATGATTCTTTATACACTCAGCTTTGTCTAATCCTAATTCCCCACAAACTATCTCTTCCCTCACGTATCCACTACCCACCCATTCTCAAATTGCCCCTCTTTCCCTCTTTCTCTGTCCACTATTACATTCCCTATCCCCGACTGAAACTGTCACCGTGTCTTCCTCTTACCTCACTTTATTTCTTCCCCTTGCGAATATATATATTTATTCTCTTCTCTCCTCTCTCGTCCTTCCATCTGTATAACTGTCATGTATTTTCTCTTCTGTCCATCCAAATTCTTAAATGATCTCTTCATGCTATCTTCTTTCTTCCTGTACAACTTATAACATGAGGACAACAAACTAAGCAGTCAATACAGGGGAAATAGGTTGAAATGGTTTAAGCAAGATCCTGTAACTGGCGAACATCAAATTCAACAGTATATACAGGGGATAAAGGGTGATACGGTTTAAGTGAGATGCTATAACAATGAGAACATCACACACACACACACACACACACACACACACACACACACACACACACACACACACACACACACACACACACACACACACACACACACACACAGGGGGAGGTGGGGGGGGGCGCATGTTATACACCATGCCCAGAGAGGACGTGGATTTGAGGGATTTGAATTTACAAAAGGCCGAAGTCAAAATGTAATATTTCGAGTTCCCGATTTGTCCATTAACGGCACTCGATAGGGGCATCGACGTATTATTTACATCTGTATAAATGCACTCAAAACCGATAGAAATGTTTATTTCTCTTCCTGCTGTCAGTTAAACTTAGATTTATTGGTAAAGAAGCATTGACCCACTGATGAAACATATGTTTATTTCGTGAGGTCAGACTATTAAGGTAGCCGCCGACAAAGTACGTATCTGTCCCCAGCTGTGAATACTTCCCGGTTGTCTCACACGCTTTGTACTCACACAAAAGAATGCGTAATTGAGCGTATGCGGGTGACAATGATGGTAGGATAACCAATCAGATCCTTGCACATACTCTTCCACTCCGTTGGGGAAGGCCCACGTTCACCGGGCATGTTTCCAAGCCCCTCCCTCCTATATATATCAGTAGTCCCAAATATATATGCAGTCCCTTTTCGTAAACACATTGACTTTTCAGCACACCTCACAGTCTCACATGTAGCCTTTTTTCATATATTAGTGGTATCAAATATATACATGAAATACCATCTCTATCGAGTTCACACAAGTCTTATGGATGGCTGTGTCGACATCATTCAACATGGCACTCTTCCCATTTAGGCATTTAGCAGGTAAGAAGTGGTATGCACATCAGGTTTATGTTTAAAACGTCCATGTTGGTGTTTTAGTATGAGACTGATGGGATTATTAGTTATTTGAAGTTGCAATCTGTAAAAGTGCAGAGGATGTCGACAAGGATCTTCAGTGCTTTGTGTTGTAGATCTTACTCATTCAAGGGTAAAAATCGCTGATGACTGATGCCGATGAGTGATTGAGTGAGTTGGATTTAACGCCGCTTTTAACATTATTCCGGGTATATCACGGCGTATCAGCTTAATGTGGGAGGAAAGCCCGAAGTGATGCAGGTCTCGGACGCTCATCACTTCGGTGAAACCCACGAGCACGCGTATGGTGCTGCAACCTAGAAACATAATCGTGGTGAACCGGGATTCGAACCCGAATAGGTTCATATGTTTCTGGTGTGCCCAAAGGACGAAATTCTGCACAGTGAATCGCGGCGCCTTAGACGACTTGGCCATTACGTTGACTTGTTCTGATAAGAGGAATAAGGATTAAATGATCAGCTACCATCATGACGAAACGTCCTCGTTTCATCGAGTAACAGTATACCAAGTGGTTAGTTGGGAGACGAAGTGAAGGATACTGCTTAATGGTACATCTGATATTCATAGTCCTTGGTTCTCAGGTTGTCATGACGTGTGTATATGGATGGTTTTAACAGTTCGTGCCATTTCAATGATGATGGTCGCAATACATGGTAATTCATTTCTGTCACATTATGCCTGTGAACGTTGGAGTTACCTTTGTTGATGTTTATGAATTTGTTTTGTTCTATATACGACTGATATTATTACATTTTCACTCATATTTAATTCTTATTAAAGGCGTTTTCGAAGTTGTATTGTTCTATAATAAAATTATTACTTACTGTATTGTATGAATGGCGGGTGCTACCGTTAGGGTAGGACATGCTTGCCATTTTCGAAAACACAGGTGTCATCACTGATTTTTAGCTTTATTGCCCTCTACGCCCTCTACGCCCTCTACGCCCTCTACGCCCTCTAAGCCCAATGGAGTCTGTTTCTGTAGGCACATACATAGGGATTCTACATTTGATTTCACTTCCTATTTTTTCATGTATGCATTACTAATAATAACAACAAAGGCAATTATAACAAATTTACAGATTTAAACCCCAAATTATCACTACCTTATGAGAAAACTTGGTATCATTCTTGTTTTCAAGAAAATAGTATGGTTTCTAAAATTTAACATTACCTTGTCCTGGAAAATGAAATTTGATGATAAAAAAACAAAGCAGGTGTCAATAAAACCGATCGCCCGAACGCATCACGGCAACGGCCATGGTAACCCGATGCACGTGAGTGCATGCACATTGAAATGCACATGCGTTCCCACATTTCTTGCCCTATAAAAATACACCCAGATCGGATAAAATTCACACGTTATTGAATTGCTACCACATGCCAAGATTGACAAGAAACAAGCGACACCAAGCCCTTGGACGATTGCAAGCTGAACAATTCGCCCGGCCAGTAGCCAATGCATTTCAAGTCCACGTAAGGAACATATACAGGCTCCATCAACGGTACCAGACCACTAACACTACAGATGACCGACCACGTAGTGGAAGACCAAGGGTCACCACCCGACGTCAGGATCGTCAGATTGTGCGACATCATCTTCAAGATCGCCTTGTTACTGCTACGGAAACTGCTCGACAGACAATGGGGACACACCATCGACACATTAGTGCTGATACCGTGCGTCGACGATTGACGAGCAGACACCTCCACTGTCACAGGCCACACCGAGGACCCACTCTGACACCACGTTATCGCCGTGACCGTCTTCGGTGGGCAACACAGCACCAGCATTGTCGCCACCAGCAACAGCAGATGGCAGAGGGAGAGAGAGTGTCTGGCGACGACGTGGGGAACGTGATTCAGATGCTTGAGTTGTTGAGAAACTGCTGGGGTGGTCCGAGCATCCTGGTGTGGGGTGGAATTGATCTTGCACAGAGGGTCGGCCCTGTGGTCTTCCAGAACATCGGTCCAGAGAGAGGCAATGGAGTCACAGCAGCTCGGTACATTGATCAAGTCATGAGACCACACGCCATACCTCATTTGGCACGTCGCCGCAACCATAAGTTTCAGCATGATAACGCCCGTGCCCACACTGCGAGAGCAACAAAAGACTTCCTCAAGCAGAATAGCATCAGAACCATGCAGTGGCCTGCCCTTGATCCCGATTTTAAACCCATTTAGCACCTGTGGGACGAGATTCAAAGACGGCTGAATGACGTCCGACCAAGGCCGAGTGCCTATGACCTTCATCAACCGCCTCATCTATTCCATGTTTCGACGTTGCACTGCAGTCACCAATGCACATGGCGGACACACGAGATACTGACGTGCGATGCCATTTTCTCAAAGAGCTAGTGTTGTGTTTCTCTTTAAGAACATTTGACACTTTAATTTTAACCTTGATGATCATTTTGGCCAAGTTTCATCTTTTTAATATTTCTCAAATATGTGTACAGTGTTTGTACAAATAAGGTTTCTCATATATCTATCCATGGTGACGTTTCATTTGCGGTTCAGTACATATAGAACTGCCTTTTTATGAACATCCGACTCAACACAGATTTATATCGATCATGTCAATAACTGATAAACATATCCCTAAAAAACTATCAGTGTTCATTTGTCAGGCTATGTTAGAGAATAACCTGTTTATCATATCGGCAACCACTCCCGAAAACAGAATTGTACTATGAACCTGTGGCTTCTCAGTGTGCAAGAAAACTAATCCTCCTACTAGGATTTCAGGAGCGGTGTAGTTTGTGTAACATCATGATGACACCAGATGTTTAATAACGTTTAAACAACAATTTAAAAAAAAATTCCTTTAAGGTCGGTGAACCAAGTAAAGGCAAAAAAGAAAAGAGATACAACAATCTGCTATATATCATGTGTGTTACGGGAGTTTTATTCAAATTGTGTGAGTGGTGGGTTCTACCGGTAGGGCAATCACTGATTTTCAGTGATCCATTCATGTTATTTTCCAAATGGAGGCTTAATCAGATTATCGAAATGGCCATTCTCTGGCGTTGCCATTTGCTACTGAGGTAATAACGAGTTTTGGATACCCTGAACCTCAGGTGATACGTCATACGTCACAAATAGCAATTACTCTGTCAATCGGATATTATCAATCATAGAATGGATCGCGGTGAGTGGGGTGGGGATATGTAAAGGATGTTTTATATAAGGGTATCAGAACTATGCTTAAATTCTACCATGTAATGACACCTATGTTTTATTTGCAGGTGTTCAGAGACTGTTTCCTCATAGACGGAAAGTTCCCCTGCTGCTTGTTGTGGCTGTTGTGTTTTTGCTGCAACCACGTCCTACAGCTGCACACGCTCAAACAGGTGGGAATTCTTGACAAGGCCTCAATGTATATGTCATGTAGCAGAATGTCTCACGTCATATCAAGGATAAACACATGCTATAAAATCGAATTATATGACACAGTTGTACCTCATGTCATATATAACGCATATGTATAACGAATATACATGTTTCGTCGCGGTTAAAAACATACGGAGAAATAAACTAAGCGGCAAAAGAAAGTATAGTTTGGCAATTTGTAATTTTCCTAAAAAAACAGCGATAACTAGTGGAAAGTGGGTATTGGGAATATGACTGCCCAGGAACAGGTACCAAAACACCTCTACCGAACGCGCCACCTTTGACGGCGCTCGTGCGGTAAAAAAAAATGGTGAAACAGGTTTCCCGCCTATGGCATAAGCTGCACGTGCATGTTAGCTGTAAAAATGCGCTCATCTGCAGGGTAAAACCACACGTGATGAAAGCGCAAAAAAGAAATGCCTCGACTGTCACAGGAGCAGAAAGAGAGAGAGAGATCGGTATGGCCGAAATGGGGGCAACACAGGTCCAAATTGCCAGAAGGTTTGGTTGTACACCATTGACAGTAGCCAGGCCGATTCAACGGTACAGGCAGAAAGGAAGGACACAGGACAGGCCTAGAACCGGACGACCCCGAGTGACAACACCACTGGAAGACGGTCAGATGCGGCTCATTCACCTGCGAAACAGATTCATAACGGCGACGGCGACGGCACCAACGTTGGGACATCCCATTAGCCAACGTACAGTACTACGACGACTTCGTGCTGCTGGAATCCGAGCGTATCGTCCTTTCCGAGGAATGGTACTGACTGCTGAACATTGACGCCTGAGACTGCGATGGGCGAGGCAAGTTCGACGCTTGCAAGTCAGAAATTGGCGTCGAGTGCTGTTTACTGCGGTTTAACTTGTTTCGAAATGACGGCAGAGAACGACTTTATCGACGCAGAGGGGAACGTTTTGCTCCGGCGTGTATTCGAGAGGTCCATCCATTCGGCGAGGGAGGTGTCATGGTGTTGTTATTTGTGGAGATCAGAAGACTGATTTGGTGATTATACAGGGAAACCTGAACGCTGTGCAGTACAGAGACCAAGTTTTGCAGACAGTTGTGCCTCCGTTCTTACAAAACTAACAGCAGGGGACATTGTTTCAACACGACAATGCCAGGCCCCATACTGCAAGACTGACTCGGAAAAACCAGCAGAACGTTGACGTTTTGCCCAGGCCTGCCCACTAACCCGATATAAATCCTATTGAACATCTCTGGGACCATCTTGACAGACAGATTAGAGCACTCCACCAGCCTCCCGTCAACAGACAAGAATTTCAGGAGGCCCTGAGAGACGAGTGGCAACGGATTCCAGTCCACGTCATCAGAAGACTGACGTCATCGATGAGACGGCGTATCACAGCATGCATTGAGGCAGCTGGAGGTCATACACGCTGTTGAAGGCAACTGTGTCGACAATGAACTTGTAGTGTGTCTGGCAATTTTTTGGTGACATTTCAAACAACTTTTGAAAATGAAATTTCTTACCCCACCATTGTTTACCTTGAGGTTACATTACCTGTGATTACACAATTTCATTCAAACTGTGGTTGATCAATCATTTGTTACCCCTCCCTAGATAATATTATAATTCACAACAAAACTTCTTCTTGTTTTTTTTTATCGATCATGGAACTCGACCTATACTTTCTTTTGCCGTCCAGTTTACATAAATTGCAAGACTTAGTGAATATTCCGTGGAATTTGATAGGCTAACCAAGCAATACTGTTTTAGGTGAAAAATGTTAGGCCGCGCCCAATAACAGACTACTGTTTCCTTACTGGATGATAATTGAATGTTGCGGGCTTCAGATGCAGTATGGTGCAGAACGATGTCACTGATTTTGCCCTGTTGTCTAGAGTTAATTTTGTATCCATGATTAAACTAAGCAGTTTGTGAAGTTATTATTGTTGGCGTATGTATACATTACAACTGACTTCGAAATCTTTTTTGCGCTTATGGAGTTAAAAACGTAGAGATTCGTGTGCACAGTTTGCGTAGATTCACAAATATTCAAGTCAATTCTAAAATACATATCCAGTCACGGTGCATTACACATGTAGTGACGGTGAAATACATGTAACGTGACTGTAAAATGCATAACGTGACAGCGAAATACATGTAACGTGACGGTAAAATACATCGCGTCACTGTGAAATACATGTAACGTCACGGTGAAATACGTTACGTCACGAAGAAATACTTAATATCGCGGTAAAATATATAACGTCTCTGTGAAATACAAGTAACATCACGGTGAAATACATGTAACATGACGGTGAAATACATAAAGTCTTTGTGAAATACATGTAACGTCTTTGTGAAATACATCACGTCACGGTGAAATACAAGTAACATCATGGTGAAATACATGTAACGTCACGGTGAAATACATAACGTCTCTGTGAAATACATGTAACGTCACGGTGAAATACATAACGTCACGGTGAAATACAGGCCATTTCAAGTCACTTCGGAATAATCTCATGTCACAGTGAAATTTGTTTCGCCACGGTAATACACATGTAACGACGCAGTAGAATTATATTGCATTACGCGGAGGCAGGTCGCGTAGCAGTGGTACACTTGTCACGTCACGGTGAAATGCGTGTCACGTACCAGTGCAATGTATCAGTTTGATGCACATATATTCGAATGCAAAACACAAGTAATGTTAAATGACCCTAAAAGTACAAGTGGACATTCAGCTTATAGCTATCAGACATATTTGGTACATAATACAAGTTATGTCACGTTGACACATGTCAGGCGTGGTTTATCCAGGGTTTAAGTAAAGCTTTCGAAAACCTTTATGTAGAGGACCTTTCCAAATTTGACGCATCAGTTTCCTTGTTGGACCGCCATCTTGTCATGAATTTTCAGATTTCGAGCATGAGGACCTCGCCACACTGCTGGAGGAAGAATCCTTTATTTCAATGAAGAAACAAAGTAACGTCAGTTTGAAAAAGACGCGTGATTTTCAAACTTTCGAAAAAGGTTCAGATATAGTCAGGTTCACATCTCTAGATCGGAAATACATATCAGAGGTCGACCTGTTATCAGAGGACGCTTTGAATTCAGACCTACTCCCCTCGGAGTACAACCTGGAACACGAGCGGCACAAGAGAGAGGTATACGAATCCTCCGGATCAGGTGAGTACAAGTTAGGGCATGTCATGCATATATTAACCCATGTATGGGGTTTCTAAACAGGAATTTATATGTCCCACAAAACTGTTGGAACACAGGAGGAGGGGTTGCAATGGTGGTCCCAGTGGTAACTCCGTCGGGCTGAATACCCAGATGCACACGTATTATTTTGAGCTGCGGTTTGACAACAAAGGAGGACTTGGTGTACGCCCAAGTGATCACATTGTTCTGTTGTAATGCATCTGTGTTTCCCGTGGTGAATAAACTCCCTTTTTCTCCTTTCTAAAGTAGAGCATCACCAATGAATGTCTTTTTTTATGTTAGAACATTGTGTCCTTGTGTGACATACCTCTCTGCACAAATTCGTGAAATAAACATCCCACAAAAAAAACACATACGCAAATTCTTTCAGTTACACATAAAGAGAGCGAATCCACAGAGGCTGTCTATGTTCCCTCGGTATAAAACATTCACCATGTTTAATTGCTTCAGTAAGATTAATGTTATTCTATCTACATGTATTGTTTTCGTGTATTTTTGTCATCCTACGTATCCTTATCACTGGCGATAAACACCAATCACGTGATAGGTAAATATATAATCACAACGACAGAGAATTATCCACCGAAACAGATTCCTTTGGGCGTAAAAAGGTAAAATAGGTGTGAACATTAAATGAATGGATCACTGAAAATCAGTGATGACACCAGGGGTTCGCGAAAGGATAAGCATGTAACGTAGGCGAAGGGCGGTAGGGTAGCCTAGTAATATTAGTGGTAGCCGACATGGGCACAATGTGTGAAGCCTATTTCTGATGTCCCCTGCCGTGATATTACTGGAATATTTCTAAAAGCGGCGTAAAACCATACTCAATCACTCACTGCAATGTACGCGAATTACTAATTTTCAATTCATCGAGGGACATTCAATGTCATATTGTTCCTGTGATTGTTGAAGAGGGGATAACAAATGGATGGGACAGTACACCCACAAAACACTTACCATTGATGAGGATTTGAGTTGGTCGACCTTTGTTGAAACGTGATCATGAACACTTTGTTATACCAGAAACTTTGTGACTTTTGCTAATACGTTTGGGAACCCAGGATGAAACCTTGAGGAACCTTGTGTGAACACTTGGCCAACCTTGTTTGAATACTTGGCGAATCCTTTACGAATCCTTTACGAATCCTTAGTAAAACGTTTGTGAACCAAACGCAGCGGTCAACCAACAGTGAGTGAGTGAGTGCGTGAGTGAGTGAGTGAGTGAGTGAGTGAGTGAGTGAGTGAGTGAGTGGGTTGGGTGGGTTGAGTGAGTGAGTGAGGGTGTCAGTCAGCCAGGGAGTGGGTGAGGTAGGGAAGGAGGGAGTGAGATTAAGGCCGCTTTGAACAATATTTCAGTCACATCTCCGTGTGACAGCTTATGTGTCACTGTGTTTCACACGTGAGAGAAAACCCAAGGTGATATGACCAAAATACTGTAAAACCCAAGTCTCCTAGGGATCGACCATTCTCTTTTAAAGGATATTTGGGAACACAATATTCTTTTTAAAGATATCAGGTAGGTGAAAATTCTGCTTGGTGTTGGTATGAGGTGTTTTGCCACAAAAAATGTTCCTAACAAAATTAAAGTTGTTTGACATGGAGGTATGTTTTGAAGAAACTGACGGAAAAAAAGAAAATATAAACTTGAAACTGGTAAAAAATGGATTTGGCCCAAAATGACAAACTTAAAAACGACGTTACTAGCCTGAAAACACTGCAAAGTTGAGTTTTAACACACAACTATGATAACCGTATCAAACACATCAAAATCGAATAACCATTTCATTTTTGTTTCATTTCTAGCCATCATAAAACACAAGTGTATACTTTCTTTTGGCCGGGATTTTAATATGTCTGAAAATATACTTTAGCAAAAACAAACATTTTTTAGAAGTCTTTTCTTGGTTCTAATACGCTTCCATAGAATGTATTTTGATAAAAGCGAAAATAATATAAAGATGTTCTCAGAACAGAATTGTACTGACCTGAGAAGGTATTATTATAAGTTTCAGGAGTATTAGGATGTCTTTGTTAGGATACATCTTTGTATGAAAATTATTGAAACTAGAAGCATAACACGAGAATTTTGTTTCAGTAAGGAAGTCCACTCTTAACATGGCAATATGAAAAAGTTTCTAAACCACAAGAATGCAAATGTCTCATACAAATACGAATATATGGTGAAAGTTGTGTTGAAACTTCATTGTTTGTAAATGTAAATACAGAAGACGTCATTTTTAATTGTTCCTTATAATATTTGCCTTACAACATATGACAGTTTATGCAGCGAAAATACAGTTCACTTTTTAATGCATTCTTTCCTATTAACAAAATTCACTTAGTTTCCCTGAGATAAAAATACACAAACCCAGGACGTTTTATCGTCTCCGAATTTCAAGACAGACGATTTCCTCACTGTAATTAATCGTCATGTAAAATAAAGGAAACATTCCGACATAATCGAACGGTAATTCTTCGTATTCTGGTGAAAGACATTCATAATCGTTCAGAAGAGTGATGTCCTTACAGCACTAGACATGCCAAAAAATAATCATATGGTTTCTAATAGGTGAGGTGAAATAGGGTTTATCTTCGCGTCCAAGATTATTGCACTTATATAGCAACGTGCGTACGTGCGTGCGTGTGTGTGTGTCCGTTGCTTCTTCTACTAGTCCGGACTAATGCCGATTTTAAAGTGCTTGCCCACTGAGATACCATGCCTCAGTTTAACATGAAGACCATACTCAGATATCAGTATACTGTAACCGAGCCAACAAACCCTTGTTTTGGACCCTTAATGCCGGGCCCCAGACAGGGTAACAACAAGTACTATCTTTTAACGTCTTTGGTATGACGCGGCCGGGAATCGAACCCCGGAACTTCCACGGACGTTTACCACAAGACCACGGAGCGGTCTATGGTTTCTAATAAATGCATGTTGAGCTATCGTATGTATCATGTCATTTATACTGTATATTTTCAGAAAACGAGTGTTTAGATCCAGACCGTGAGTACTGCAAGGGCCCCTTTGATGTGTGTACAGATCTGACGACGGGCTACAACTGTACATGTAAGGTCGGATTCGTCCGGGAAGACCAGGAGTGCTACGCAGGTAACACAAACATACATTTCACAGTTTCCAGTTCATAGTTAACATGTCCCACAGCACCCAGTTCACATGGTTAACATACCTACAACACCCACATCACATGGTGAGCATATTCGAACACACTCACTTCACATGGTCAACATACCCCATCACACTTAGTTCACATGATCAACATACCTCGACAGACTCAGTTCACGTGGTCAGCATACCCAATCACTCTCATTTCAAAGGGTCAGCATACCTCATCACGCTCACTTTACATGGTTAACATACCCCATCACACTCATTTCACATGGTCAGCATACCCCATCACACTTAGTTTACATGGTCAACATACCCCATCGCACTCAGTTCACATGGTCAGCATACCCCATCACACCCAGTTCACATGGTCAACATACCCCATCACACTCAGTTAACATGGTCAACATACCCCCATCACACTTAGTTCTCATGGTCAACATACCCCCATCACGGGCTCTTCAAAGTCAACATACCCCATCAGTCTACCTATAAGACCGCCTCCGTGGTATAATGGATAGAGCGTCTGCCCGGACAGGGGAAGTTGGGTGGTTCGATCTCCAGAAGCGTCATACTCAAAGACGTTAAAATGGTACTTGTTGTTACCCTGCAAGCACTTAAACCGGCATTTGTCCGGACTAGTACAAGCACGAACGAGCGCGCACGCACGCACACACACACACACACACACACACACACACACACACACACACACACACACACAAACACACACACAAACACACACACAAACACACACACGTCGCTATGTAAGTGCAATAATCTTGAACACGACGTAAAACCCCATTTAATATTTATACAGAACATCTAAAGCCTGGGGTTCTAAATAATTGATATATGATTATTGGCTTGCATTCCATTCAACAGAAATGTTCACTTACGGTCCGAGCGCTTCAGATTCAACCATGTCCAGCCAGGATGAAGGTTTTCAGGCGATAGACGTTGAGGATGGAATCCCATTTTCATCAGAGATATACTATATCATATATGTAAGTTAAAAAATACCACGTTATATACGGAGAAGCAAAAGACACTATACCTCTCAGTTGATCTTTACGTCAGCGATATAATATTTAAAAAATAAACTCTACTGGCGCTTAGTCAACACTCAACGAATACAATATTATTCAAAACCTTTAAAAAATCGCATAATACAAAACTGTTGTTGGGTATCTTAGACACCTTATCGTCGAAATCAATAAATTTGCTATTTTCGGCAAAACATTACAGCATTTTAAACATGGTTACAAATTCATTTCGTACCCGATTTTTCAGCAATCTCATTAAAACCAGATCTTAGTTCTTGCTGCCGCTAAACAAAGATCTGAGGACATCCCATTACGGAACACGTCAGACCGACCTTGCGCGAACTTTGACCGACCTTTTGAAGGACTGACAAGAAGTCGACATTAGCCAATCAGAAGGCAGCTTTCTCGTGCTTTACGGCACTAATTTCAAAATGGGGACTACGCTTCGAAACATATTTTGACAAATTCTCGATTAAAAATTTGAAACCTGAACAAAAGAACATTCTGGAATGGCTATTAGATGGCCTAGATTGTGTGGATTCAGTCGTTAAACCCATAACTATCGTTCGGAATACCCCGTGTTAAAGTTTTCAAGGTTGCAAGATTGAAAATCACATTCCGATTATCACTTTCATGATCTGGTAAGCGACGCTCTGATTGGTCGGATGAAAGGTCGTTCTGACGTGACCCCTAATAGGATGTCCTCAGATCTTTGTTTAGCGGGTAGCGAGAACTAAGATCTGATTTTAATGAGATTGATTTTTCAGCGAACCAATTTTTTTTATCCAGCCACAGATTGCTGTTTACAAACTGTTTCAGGCATTAGTGATGGTTATATTGACACAATCAAAATTAACAGCAGTTCTTTCAATTACATGAAAACAAACTCGGCTCACTATATTTTGCAAATATGTTATAGTATATCTAAACTTACATATACACCAGAGTCTATCTTAACTTACATATATATCACAGTATATCTGAACTTACATAAATGTTACAATGTTCTTTAACTTGATATATATACACCAGAGTCTATCTTAACTTACATATATATCACAGTATATCTGAACTTACATAAATGTGGTGCATATGTAAGTTTAGATATACAATAACATATTTGTAAGCAAAGGTACATTGTGATGTATATGTGAGTAAAGATATACTATTGCATACATATATATAAATTAAGATATACTGTGATATATATGTAAGTTAAGATATACTGTGATATATATGTAAGTTAAGATAGACTGTGGTGTATATGTAAGTTTAGATATACTATACCATATTTGTAAGCAAAGATATACTATTGCATATATATATAAGTTAAGATATACCGGACATTTGTAAATTACCATGACTTATTAGTGACTTTAATGTGAGTGCATCAATCACATTTCCTATTCCATCCACGGCAAAAAATATTTTTTTAACAATTTTCTTTTTTTGCCTATGAGTATATGTACAGTTCTTTCAAAATAGATTGTGTGGTACCATGCAATTATTGAAATAAATTTTAGTACCTTACGTATTACAGGCCAGTATATATCTATATATACTGAACAAAAAGTTAGGGATCATGACTATTTGTAGAATACCTTTATGAAAATATGTGCTCGGCGTTCACTCCAAAAATACCATATTTGTGTTCAGTATACATACTCATCTTACCTTGCATTAAGATACTCGTGTCTATGGTTTCTATGTACCCTTCTAAGGTACAAAATTCATATACAGTAAACTACGCTTACAACGAACTGACCGATGTTACGAACTTATTTTTTAGTCCTGGCCATTTGTTGCATATATGATGTATATATATATGAATATGACGAACTACGATTATTACTAACTAAATTATAATCGTAGTTTACTGTATTCCGCTTTGAGGTGCCGAACTTCTTACCAATGCGAATATATGACATGATTATATTAGCTCCAAACTGAACATCAAATGTGTTTAGTGAACGTAACCGGTACATAGGCGCTCACGCAGGGTGTATCACACCATATAAACTTCGAGACTGGTTGCCAACTAATATTTCCTTCTTTCACTCCTGACTGTTTTGTGTTCATCCCTCCATCTAGATCTCTACAAACGGCGTGATTAGTTTTGGGACGCGGTTTGGTTCGTACTCGCCATCGCTGCCCACCAATACCCAGAACATCTTGTGTCCTTACTGGGCCGACATTGACATCACGTCCGGGCCCAGCACAACTGCCATCTACTACCAGGCATACAGTGGCACTAGCAATAGGCTTGAAACAGCTTCCATTTGGATTAAGAAATACATCTCTGACAGGACATTCAAAGCAACATGGGCGTTGGTGGTCACGTGGTATCACGTGCCACAGAAGGGACAATCCTCATCTGACGAGGTAAGAAATCAAACTGATTTGGTTTCTGTGAAGGTTGCAACGTTCCAAGTGCTGCTGGTCACTAACGGTCAGTCCACGTATGCCTTGTATATCTACAACAGAATGGGATGGACGGTGAGAGACGATATCCCAATTTACATCGGCTATGAAAGTTCAAATACGAGAGATAGAAGACAGGAGGTCCTTATCATGTCTAGAAAGCGGGCAGCTTATACCAACGCCGGCATCGGCAACAACACGGGTAGGTAGCACGTCATCATCCACGCAAAAGCTCCTCACATCATAAACGCAAACTCAACGGATACTCTGTAGTGAACCACGAGTGCCAATAAATATATCAAATGTGAGACATAAAGCGTGACCGCCTCTGTGGTGTAGTGGGTAAAGCGTCTGCCCAGACAGCGTAAAGTCGGTGGTTCGATCCCGGGCCAAAGACGCACACGCAAACGCTGACGCACACACGCGTGCATGCACGTCCCTATGTTAGTGCAATATTCTTGGACACGACGTTAAACCATTTCACCTCACATCCCCTCACCTCAGATAAAGCATTATGATCGTTATGTCTTATCAAAGAAATGCTTAGGTTGAGGCGGGTGTATAGGGGGAGCACACAGCCTTAAAGTCGTCAATTCAAGGGGGTGTTTGGATGGCCCTGTGAGTAAACCGTTGTACCGGGATCGATTCCCTTTTTTGTAAAACGTCTGAGGCAGACAAATATTCAAGCTTAATCTTAGCATTGTTGGAGAGCCACGTGGTTATCGCTCGAAGATATAGAGGATATTTTATGTGTCTGTACAAAATATTTTGGGTCACGAAAATTCTTTATCATACCTTAAAGATATGAGTAGATACAAAATCAACCTTTACAAAATATATTTTTGAAAACGACGAGACCGATTTGGAAAGAAAGAATACACGTTGGTCAAGTAATGAAATGGCGATTTGCGAAACGAACATTCTCGATTGACGAGTTAAATGAGAAATTTACAGTTGGAGGTCAACAGTTTGTGAACAGGCCAGACATTTACGATAAAGGGAGACAATTTGAGGGGAGGTCACTCATTTATGACAATAGTTACGTCAAAGTGTTATGTTCACAGCAGTGAAATATGAAGTGTTATGTTCACTGCAGAGAAATATCAATGTTATGTTATGTTCACTGCAGTGAAAATATCACTTTTCTCAACTTCGGAAAACTCGGTCTTTCACACTATATGATAAAACAATAATCTTCAAAAAAAAAACTTTTTAGTTTGAAACAAAATATTTTGAACAATTCAGATATCCCGGGCGTGTACATATTCGACATCGGGGGGACGGTGACGAACTTCGTATCGTTGTGTAAACAATGGTACACCGAATGGGAGCGGGATTACCAGTTTTGGTGGGACTGGTTCCTGGATTACTGTCCCTGCAGCTCCGTGTGGATGAACAGAGACTGGAGGTTCTACCTGTCTGACTATAGATACCAAAATGGTCAATTCAGTGTCTGTTACACATCGCGCCGCACTTGGTGGACCACTCCTTTGTCTCGGGTAAGTTGTTCACTCACACATTACTGAGCGTTTGACTTGAGGCGCACCACTATTTAAGTTTATTGTGCGAGGAGAGCAAAAGGCGACGCAGGGCCTACAGATGTACCACTATTTGAACTACAGCTGGATAATTTTGAGTAAAAATATATTGGTTAAATGAAGATTGGGGTAAGAAATATATTTCCCATCACATGTTTGAAATGCTGTAAAATTGTGGCGAAAAATGTTAATTTATTGTTTTTCAAAGATAGCATGCCTTAGTTTTGTATTATGCGAATAATAATTTTTAAAAGTTTTAAATTATATGATATTAAAAATAAAACCATGTAGAAGTATTCTAAGTGCCAGTGCAGTTCATATTTTTGGATATAATGTTGCGAACTTAACCTATTTTCAATTGAAAAGCAAACATATGACAAACTCACCTGAGAGGTATAGTTTGCTTTGCTCATCAGTTTATAAGACCGATGCGTCGGTTTTCCGCCATCAATGTCCATCACTTACATAGCATATTGTAAATAGTTTCCTGAACAGATAAATGAGTTAAACGATTTGAATGTTCCACTTTGCATGGTTTGAATTCTGACATTATTTTTGCAGAAATGTTGCTACAGAAACACTAGATTATTGAGGTCAGATGAGGAATCTGGATCGCTGCAGAGGTTTGATCCCGTTTTTGTACGGCTTCATTACCTGGCCGATTACCTGGGAAGATATTATTGCTGTGAGCAGTCCAACAGGTGCGATCTCTTCTTCAGCATCCGGCCCCAGGGATTCTGTTCACGTACATTCCCCTTCTGGTTGGGTAAGTGAAGACTATTGACGTGACGAGTGAGTGAGTAAGTGGGTGGTTGGGTGAGTGCGTGAGTGGTCGGATGGATGGGTGAGTGGGTGAGTGGGTGAGTGAGTGAGTGAGTGAGTAGGATTAACGTCGCTTTGAACAGGATATATATCAAAGTATCATATTGGAGATAAACAGATTCTTACATCACGCTATTCATTCTCTCTAACAAGGTACTGAGATGGCCGCTTCCGTTTTTCGTGCGAAGCAAAAATATTTCTATATCTATTTCTGTTGAGTTGTATATGACGGTTTTTGTGCTACTCAAACATATATCTATTTCTTTAGTAGTGATATTGGTAACATAAGTAAGCGAATGGTGAGGGACTAGAGGTTTCGTATGTCAGTGTATTTACTTAATGTGAGAAGAAAGCAGCTACATGAGGTCTATCACTTTGATGAATCTTCGAGCGTGAGTATGGTGCTGACAAACCAAAAATCAAACTCATGATGAACATGGGATTCATAAGACCCCACCCCAACCCCAACCCCAACCCCAACCCCCACCAAACCCCCAAACCCCCACACCTCACTATCAGATTACCCAGTCTTTCACATTTATTTTCCATTTAACACACAATCACGCGACGTTTGTTATTATCGCATGATATGCAAAATACCAGTTTTGCAGTATAAGTTACATGTCCTTCATGTTTTCTTCATTTTTATCATGTACAGTAATTTTGTGACTGTTGACATGGCCCTGTTTTGGGGATGATTGTGTGTTTATTGGAAAAACTGGGTACCAAAATGATGGTTGACGGACTGTAATTTTGTTGAGCTTGAGGTTTGTGACCTAGATGAATGCTTGATTCTGATTGGTAAAAAGAGGTTTCCTTTTTGCTACGGAAACCCCTATCAAATATGTTAAGCCTTTTCACAATAAACGTGAGTATGAATACATAGAAAGCCTATATATTGATCCATAAAAAGTGGCTGCTGATCATTCACCACCATATATACTGTAAATCTTTATGTCCTCTAATACACGCTGGGTCTCTAATACCAGCAAGGTCTCTCATACACGCTGAGTCAAGGGCTCTCGCGAAATTAATAGACGGCGTAGCGCCAAATAGAGGAAATACGGCAGTTTTATATCGGTTCTTTGGGGCGTTGTAGGCCGCAACCCTTACTGCTTCTGTAACCGGAGTGGTTTATGTGAATGAATCACCAAACGCAGGTTGATTTGTTGATGCCAGTTGTTTTAATACAAAATAAAACGGCCCTGTGAAAATAAATACACAGAGTTACAATATGCACAATACGTACACATACAAATAAATCATTACATTATAACTTATTGACAAACATTAGAATCTTAAATATGATTATATACATTGTTATGATCAATCATAGTTAGCATGATTAGTTTTGTCTTACTGTACTGTAAACATTACAGGAGATTTATCATATAATAAATTGACAAACATAGTTTATCAATAATAGGTGAATGATGATAAATGCATTAATACATAACACACAATTAAAGTACATATCACTATAAATACATACAAAATATAAATGTCCTCACCAGGTGTATGGCACTGTGCCCTATGATGTCACAACATCAGACATTTGCTTTACAGGGACACACCTGAACATAAATATATATAACATAATTACAGTGTAACATATTACATCAATATGTTTACATCCTTAGGTATATACAATAACCCTAAAATATATATTCTAATTACTCACCTCATCATACAGACATACAGACATACAGACATACATTCATACATGTGCAGCTAGGTGCAGAACTTTAATTTACGGGTAAATAGCTCCAGTCTACCAATAAATGTACTCATTATGCTTAGTTACACAATAAGTTAAGTAATATCAACATGAAAATGCTAGTTAAGATTATCTATTATAAACATACTTACATAAGGTATTTAAGCAAATTTAGCCTAACTACATTTACCTGAATACGATGACTGATATGATATATATTTATCACACCTAACAATATAAGCATTATTAAAAGAAGTTAAGAAACCTTACATATGCACCTTAACAAACTCTTCAAAGCACTAAATAAGAACACATAAATATACAATTCAACCAAACTAACCTGTGACAATTGACTCAATTATATCAGCGATGAACCGACTGCTCCATACATAATCAACTACAAGTGTGAATTTAAACTGACCAGTCCCATAATGCACCTTGTCACTGAAAGTAAGGGGCTGGGGCTAAACAATAGAAACCAGAGAAACAATAGAGAAACAATAGAGAAGGCAAGCGCAAGGGTGACTGTGCTATTGTATTAGTGAAGCAGGTTAGATTGGAGTGTAGACTAAAACTTAGGTATTAAAATAAGAGGTGACCTTAAAATACACTTGATGATATATACATAATTACATACTACTACATTCTTCCCTCCCCACGGAAATGACGTCTTCGTCATTCTGAGTTTTGGCGTGTTAAAATAGATATAAATGCTTTCGTGATGTCCGGTGTAGTCTGTTCCAATGTTCCAGCGCTCGTTAAATGCTCCAGATAACGAACCCTAACCATCCAATCTGGCTCTACTGCTGCCTGACTAAGCGCATACTGCCCTGAATGCATCCAACTTGGAGGGTGTCGTTCACGTGTTGACCTTCGTGGAACAACATCAGCTCCGTCTGTATCTGGAACAGCATCACCTGTGACATCCATCTCGTCAACATGTTCTGCTTCAGCTGAAGGAACTTGATCCAGAACTGTATCATCATCTTTAGTTTCGTCTTCAGCTGAAGGAATGACATCATCTTCGTGTAGATCTGGAGTAGTAGCACCAGCATCTTCATCCACTTCATCATCATTAGGATACACCTCTGTTTCTCCCTCTCCTGGGATGTGACCGTCGTCACCAGAAATGTTCTCCACTGCTGCCTCAGCCTCATGATCGTCACCACTTGCCTGAGTAGCAGTTTCCATATCTGCAGGAACTTCCTGATTGGTATCTGTGGGGATACCAGCAGCTGCAGCATCTCTATTTGGGGTGTGGATCTCTACAATGATGTCTTCCTGACCAATGTCTTCATCTGGGAGTGTCTCTGGCTTTGGTTGTGGCTTAGACCGTCTTGGTCTTGGTACAGGTCTGGATGATATAGGCTCTGGTTCATGTGATATTTCAATCTCTCCAGGGTCATGAAGAGCACCAATGGGCAAGAGAAGATTCCTATGTAAAGTCCTCTGTCGACCTTCACCATTCTCTTTCTGCACTACAAAGACGGGCACATCTTGATTGGGCTGTTGCAGAATGATGTAAGGATCTTCTTCCCACTTATCTGAGAGCTTGTGTTTACCATCAAATGCCAATATTTTCACTAGAACGCGGTCTCCAGTCTGTGGTGTGGCTCCTCTCACTCTAATGTCGTAGCCTTTCTTCTGCCTCTCTCGAGATGTTTTAGCTGAGGCCACAGCCAGTTCATAAGATTTCTTCAGCCTTTCTCTGAGTAATCGGGTGTACTCTGCAAGTGACTGTGTCAAACCAAGTTCAAGCCCAAAAGCAAGATCTAAAGGAAGACGTGGCTCTCTACCAAACATTAAAAAGAATGGTGACTGTCCAGTTGACTCGTGCCTTGTGCAATTATAGGCATGTACAAGAGGCCCAATATGTGATTTCCAATCACTCTTCTGGTCAGGTGATAAGGTTCCCAACATAAAGTCACATAAAGTGCGATTGAACCTCTCACACATGCCATTGCCCATGGGATGATACGGTGTGGTTCTGGACTTCTTCATGCCAGTAAGTAAGCACAATTCCTTTATGAGATTCCCATCAAAGTTAGCACCTTGATCAGAGTGTATCCGCTGTGGAATCCCATAATGAACAATGAAGTTGTCAAAGAAGGCTTTAGCGGTGGCTTTGGCTGTCATGTTGTTGGTAACATATGCCTGTGCATATCTAGTGAAGTGGTCCGTAACAACTAACACATTGTGTTTCCCTCCCTTGCATGGTTCAAGGTCCAAGAAATCCATGGACACCAGCTCTAGTGGCTGAGTAGTCTCAATTCCAATGAGTGGAGCTCTCTGGTTGGTTGGAGTCTTCCGACAGATGCATCTTCTGCAATTCTTAATCCAGTCATCAACATCCTTAGACATGCCTGGCCAGAAGAATCTGTCTCTCAAGTGTGCCAAGGTTCTGTCTCTTCCTGGATGACCC